TATTATTTACGTAGTATTTTTACTCTCTCGCATCATTCATCATAATAAACATAGTTTGTCGGCTGATGACGCGTCATTTCTGGCTCCACTTTTTACTACATCCGATGAGTGTGTACACACACTCACACACACATGCACATACTTCCTTTACACACTCATTTGATCCCCCAAGCCCTGCAAAGAAGTATTTAGAGTTTTTCTTTTTCTCTGCTTTGTTCCTCATTTCCGTTTGCAGCGGAAGTGGTTCGCTCATGCGTGCGCCGCGTTTCACTCTGCAGCAAACACATAAACCATGGCCAAAGAGACCAAGCCAAGCAGCCATTGCATTGTTGCCAATTTTCACAGTGACTTGTGAAGTTTTTATGCTCCACTGCTTTGAACTTTTGCGCTCGATTCGCAGAAGAAAAAGAGAGAAATACGGGGAAAGAGAGGGCAGAAGAAAATAAATACAGCAACAAAGAGAAAGTATCAACTCAAGCTCTTTCAGCTCAAGCTGGGGCTACGCTTGATTGTTATTGTTATTGCAATAACAATAAAAACACCCGCACCAAGCCGACGCCTACGCGGAGTAGAGCCCCGGGGCCAACGCTGGTGGTCGATGGTATACCCATACCCTACGCCTACGCTCACAATGCTGAAYTGAACTGAACTGTTGACTAGATTTTCCACGCTTTTCACCAATAAAACGATAGATAACTCCGCTTAATAAACGATTCTCACGTATAGCTCGAAAACCAAGGAAATTCTGTAAAGTATTTTCGAGGTTTTTCCTTTTTTTTTCTAAAGATTTCATATTGTCTTTTGTGTTTGTCCCTTTGCTATCGCCAGCAGACGCGACGGCAATCAGCATGAATGGACCAGGGCGCGGCGGCCCTTGAAAGAGATATAAATGGGAAGGAGTAGGAGAGGCTGAAGAACAAATGCTGGCAGCAGAGCGCTGTAGAGATGCAGAGATGTAGGAAAAATTACTTTGGAATTCCCGGAATTCTCTGGGCTGAATCATCTCGAATGCGAGACGACCTTTGAGTCTTGGCCGCGTGAAAAACGACCTTTCATCCATTCTACACACTAACAAGGCGCATTTAATGCGTGTGTCCGTCTGTGTATATGCATAAGTGTGTGTGTGTGTGTTTTTCATGAGAGCGTACCCACATTCCAAGTCTCATAGATGCTGCCAGTTAGATAGAGAGAACACAGCACGACTTGACTTTGGGTTTGAGATGAAGAACAAGACTATGGGCAACGGTTCTTTGAACTGAGCCGCCGTTAGGTTTTTGGTCAATCGATCAATGTTCAATATGTGAGAGAGCGAGACAGCGATTGAGACATAGAGACAGAGAGAGAAAGAGCGCAGTAGGCCGCGCTTTAATGCATTCCTCAGCAGCTTGCAGCGGCTCAGTCGCATTTATTATGATTACGGATGATATTGCCCTTTGTTGGGCATTCTTTAAGTACATGGACAACCATCCAGCCAGCCAGCCAGCCAGCCAGCATCTTGTGTATTTTATTATTATTATCGACGTCGTCGTCGGCGGTCGTTTCGTTCTTGTTGTTGTTTTAGTTGCTGTTCTTGTTGTTGTTGCTGTTATTGCTGGCTGCTGCATTTCTTGGAAGGACACACAACACAGCACAGCACATATACGCACATCATATTCTTTGTGCATGTGTGCGTGTGTGTTTGTGTATTCTTGTTGGCGTCGTTTGCTTCTTCTCCCCATGTCCTTCTCCACTCTGTACTTCAAGTTCTGCGTGACGACGACTCATGCTTGATTGTCGCTCCCTCTCCTTATTTCCCTCTCGCTCGCTCTTTCATTTCATGTTGCTCCACTCGTTCGTATCTGGTATCACCGCATTCCAATCTCAGTTTAGAAGACAACAACAACAGCCGAGAAAAAAGAATGGTAAAGTGTTTATAATAGTTTCCCACAGTCTGAGGTTACACACACACACACACACACACACACACACACACACACACACACACACACACACACTCAGAGAGATACGCTCACATGCACATTCACACACACACAGTAGAGACCTTTGCTGGCTGCGGTTACCTTCACTTACAACACAGCATTGAAACTCCAATCCCCAAGCCCAGCTTTATAGCTATGCTTGGTTTCCAATCAGAAAACCAGCCAACTTCAGTTGGTGTTGTTTTGTTTGCATTTTGCGTGGCGCAGAGCAGAGTTTGTAGAAAAGTTGTTCAACTGCATTCCAATGCGCGCCTCGTTGGGTTCGTTTGGTTTGGTTTCAGTTTTGGTTTGGCTGTGTTGCATGGGGCGCACTCTGTTACTCTGTTTGTTGCCTTGCCTCCTGGGCTCTAGCTGTCTGTCTGGCCTTTGATTATGATTTTTCTTTGCTTTGCAACACAGTCAGTCGCTATGCGTGTGTGTGTGTATGAGTGTGTGTCTTTCCACTTTGGTATTTTCCTAGGTTCTCATGTCATTCATGCGCCCGGGAGGCCCTTTTCGGTATAGACGCTTCTGCGCTGTCAGTTCACATTTGTTGCTGCACTCAAGCGCATATGTTTACAAATTTAAGTTTAATTTATAAATTAAAGTTTATAAATTGTTGTTGAAAATTAAATTATTCAAAATACTCTAATATTGTGCTGAGCTAGCTGCCTTATCGATACATTTGGCACGTATATATAGCATATGCCACTGCAGCCCTGGTAAGTGATTGCATTCATGATAAATGCAAATATTTTTGACATATGGCAACACTATTTATCGACTGCTGACTGCATATTGAACTTTTGCTTGCATTTCCTGCTAAAAGCAATGCATTTTAAACAAAAACACAAAATGCCAAAGCGTTTACATTACAATTGTTAATGGGCATGCATTCCACAGCAATAAAAGCAACAGCAACAGCAACAACTACAAAAACAACAGCAACGAGCAGCTGTAATTGCAAGCTTCTGCACTTTGTACTGGGCAACTACAACAGCAGCAGCAGCGGCAACAACAACAACAACAACAATAAGATGAAGAAGAAGAACTGTAGCAACCATCCAGCAGCATCTCGAAGCTATCATCTTTGTCTGATTCTGTATTGCTGCCGCTGCTGCTGTTGCTCCACTTCAAAAACAATGCGCAATCTCTAGGGTAGAGAGAGAGCTCCAACGTCTCGGCCATTTGTAATTTACAATTGCTTTTGTTTTATTTTATGCTTTTATTTGTTTTGCATTTGGTCTGTGCGCCCGTTTCTGTTCGCCTTCTTTTTTTTTTGCACTCTTTCTTTGCACCCAACCAGTGCAACTGTGTTAAGTCTGTATGGGTGTGTGTTTGTGCGCCCGAGTGTGTGTACGACTGTATACGTGCATAGTTGTTTTTCCATTGATGGTTTTGGGTGCCTATTGCTGTTGCAGTCGCACTCGCTGGCCGACAAGGCAGCGCAGTCATCGTTGCACTTATGCTGCACTGCTTTTTTATGCTGTGGGGCGCTGCTTGCGGCTGCTGCCGCCGCGAAGTCGTTTGACTGCATTCCATTAAAACTTTCTCACAGTCGGGCAAGCTGTGAGCCGCACGACGAGTGCTTGGCACTGCCCCAGCTCCAACCAACCACCCAGAGCCCCCTTGTCCTCTCTGTCTCCCGTTCGATCGCCCTCTCTTTCTGTATTTCTGTCTCTCTGCCGCAGCAGCAGTCGTTGCCCCGTCGTGCTGCAATTGTTTGGCGTGTTTGGCTGGTTTGTGGCTTGGCTTGCTCTGCCCTGGCTTGGCTTTAAATTTGGACTTTGTACAATGTCCCGACACGGCGTTCGTGCTTGCTGCTGGGCCTGCCGCCTGCCGCCTGCCGCCCATCCCGTGTGCCCACCCCGCCGCTTGTCGTGAAGTAAATGTCGAAAACGGCTTACAATCTCTTTGGAAAGACCACCAAAACAGTTCAACGCCAACGGAATAGTTAAACTATCGTTCATATATGTATGTAACAGAGAATGCATACGAGTCTATATGTATTTATCATGTATTTATCTATCTCACTAAAACTGCACACGACTCTTGACAACACTGATAATAGTTGAGCTCTGATTATAAGGTATAGACATTCATAAAAAATATACTTTCGTTTCGGTTTTTCCTGTTATTCGCGTCATTCTACGTGCATTTCATTATAATTATATGGAAAGCACTTTGAGTCAGACTGGAGCTTATCAGACCACCTAATAGGCGCCAGCCGTCCACTAATGTGCCCACGTCATGGTGCAGAGCCAAAATGTTTTTATATTCTGTTTTTCAATCGAGCAGCTGTGTGTGTTGACTGCTGCTGTGTGGCTTATTGTGGTGCAGGCTCGCATCGGCGCATTGCATCCACACGCAGTTGTAAGATAGCGTACACTACGCTACGTTTGCAGCATGTTGGATACAACCCCATGAACGTCTGTAAAAAAAACTACCCCCGTTCATTAGATGTTGGTGGCGCGAGCGAGACAGCGCTTGCTAGACAGTTTTCCCATAATTTTTAAGGGCGGCTTTAAAGTTCATTGTTGTGCAAAGATTGCAAAATATATACGCAAGCATAGGTAAATAAAGGAAAATATATAGATATATACATTATTTATTTATTTATAGAGCTTATTGTTTATTTATCACAAATTTTGGCTGCTTACGAATCGAAAATGGAACGATTTATAAGTACCAAAAATGTCAATGATAAGATTTTCAATGTTATTAATCGTTTTTGATATTTGCGACAAATAACAACTAAAGGCTATTTTAATTTGCGGTCAGAAATTATGAATTTTTAAGTGTTGACATTTCTTTTGTTTATATTTCTCGAGTATATTTATGGTTAAATTAAAAAAAGTACTCATGGGGTAGCTCAGTCAGAGCTCAGCTGTGAGGCGGCGCATGCCGCTCTACTGCCTTCGCGTAAATCCCACGTATTTCGTGATAATTCTATGAAATTTGTTATCTAAGCGATAGCGCTATCTTTTATTGGTAAAACCAATATTAACGTGACCGTATTTTGCTTTCTTTTCTAGTTGCAATTGGAGATTGAAAGAAACAACACATCAACAACAGGAAGTGACAGTCCTTTATCATCAAGATGGCGAATATAGCAACGCAGCCACGGTTCACCCTTTATGCACCTGCAACATCAACAGCCCTGGATCAGGTGGACAACAGTACGAACAGCACAGCAACGCATCTGCTCAAGTCGTTCGTCAACAGAATGAATGATAAATACCATAGGGAGGATGAGCGCCTGAAGACGTTCGAGACCTGGCCATTGCCCTGGCTGGACAAGAACGTGCTGGCACAGACAGGCATGTTCTATACGAATGAGGATGACAAGTGCAAATGCTATTTCTGTGAGGTGGAGATCGGTCGTTGGGTGCACGAGGATCATCCCGTGAATGAGCATCTACGTTGGTCGCCCAACTGCCCGCTTCTGCGCCGTCGCACCACCAACAACTTGCCTATAAACGCGGATGCCTTGGATCGCAACCTGCCACAAGCCAGCTACGATGTGTGCGGATCAAATGATACATCCTCGTTGGATATACGCGAGAATGCCTACTCTGAGGGATTACCCTCTATACAGTCGACGGGCATGAACAGTTTTCAGCCAGCGAGAGCTGCCAGTCTGGGCTCGTCGACAACACCAGCGTCAACGAACAGCTCGAGTGGCGGCAATTATTTTCCCGAGTATCCAGAGTATGCCATCGAGTCGGCACGTCTGCGCAGCTTCGAGGATTGGCCGCGCAACATGAAGCAGAAGCCACAGCAGCTCGCCGAGGCGGGTTTCTTTTATACTGGGGTCGGCGATCGCGTACGCTGTTTCAGTTGCGGCGGCGGCCTCAAGGATTGGGACGACAACGACGAGCCCTGGGAGCAGCATGCTCTCTGGCTGGGACAGTGCCGCTTCGTCAAGCTGATCAAGGGTCAGCTGTACATCGACAGTGTCGTGGCAGCAGCAGCCGAGGCAGCCAAGCAGGATCAGGCGAAGGAGCAGGAACAGGCGCAAAGTCTAAACGTCGGCTCTACGCAAAGCTCAGCCAGCAGTACTATCGCTTCATCAGATATTGCTCCGGCTACTGCTGGTGTTGCTGCAGCTGTTGCTGCTGGCGCTCCACAACCAGAGGTTGCGGCCAGCGAGGGCGATGTGCCGCCAACAGCTGCCACACGCATCTACAACAAAATTGTGGCCCATTCAGCAGCCGACTCTATGGGCACGGGCACGGCGACGTCAGCGCCTGGCGCTCCAGTTATCGTGCCCGAGGAGAAACTCTGCAAGATCTGCTATGCGGCCGAGTACAACACCGCATTTTTGCCGTGCGGGCATGTCGTGGCATGCGCCAAGTGCGCCTCGTCCGTGACCAAGTGCCCGCTCTGCCGGAAACCCTTCACCGATGTCATGCGTGTATATTTTTCTTAAATGGCATCGAGTCCACCATCCTAACCTATACTGGACGTCCGCAGGAGGCTAGCGCGGCCAATTGTCCTGGCCGTTATTTGAAACAAAGCACCACCCCCCGCTCGCCATCACAACAGCCAAAAACGCCGCCGCCTCGGCTGTAACGGCCAGCCGGACTCGTGGATTCATCCTTAAGTTCAGCTGGCCGTTACACGACAAATGATGTGGACACATTAGTCTAGAATGTATAGTTGTACTAAAGTTTAAATAACATAATATTCGTAAACATAAATTACTTTCGGCAAACACTTGATGTTTAATATATATATTACATAAATGTACTACATAAATTTGCATGGGTTGCCCTAATAATATTATTTTTTTCAAATAAACCATTAATTTATGTATATTAAAAACAGATAACATAATATAGAGAGCTCTATTATTCAAATCAAATACCGTTGTTTGTTTACTTTTTATATATATTTCTATAGATCCATCAATAATGATCAAAGATTGCGATTATCTGGAAATTTCGAAGAGGCCCCACCCTGCAAGAGGCTGCCATAAAATGATACCAAAGTTTTATTATTCGCGCAGTAGAGTTTCTATATTGATTTTGCACAAGGTTGAATGATATATAAAATATATATGGTCAGTATACTGCGTATGAGCAGGCTAAGGAAAGTGCGCTTTACTGGACTGGACAACAGACTGATGTGGCTGGGGCCTATAGGAGGGCAGTATTTTACATGGATATTTGAAAAATCAGTAAAATGGGAAATCATCCTTGATTTATCACTAGATCTAGTTGTAGCGAGTATCACAGGAATATCTCAGTCGACTCTTTCTTGTCGATATCCTGATCGATAATGTATCATTCTCAATCCGTATATATGTGAGTTAGACGTCCCTTATTTAAGAGCCAATGCAGCAAAAGCTTAATCTGAGCATTCCTTCAAACTTGTTCAACCACACAATGTTTAAAAATATGCTTGAAACAAAATTGTTAACCGCAGAGTAATAATAGCTTAACATTCAAATATATGTATATATACATATATAATAGATTTTTCATGTGCTTTAAGATTGGATCGAATGAAGTGGAGCTGATTAGAAGTGGTGCAGATTATAGAATAATCGCTTACTTAGATTGGACTATTTCTAGTCAACAAGACTAGTGATATAGTCGCATTATATATATGCAGGTTTTATACAACTGGTGAGTTACTCATATATATCTAGAGTTAAATGAGTCTGATATCTTAATTGCTCATTAAGCAATAAGTACAATGAGTAAAGCTTTAAAAACAAACAACTTTTTCCCATCAGAATTTCGCATTGCAGTCTTATTGGACTTGTGTAGTCAACAAAAGCGCTACGATTTCTTAATTAGCTCGCAACCTGGATCTCGGTTAATTGTTATCAGTGATATCAGTGTAAGCGTGCTGTTATCGGCCCGACGTTTGCACTGTGGACGTCGACGACTAAAATAAAGTTCATTCAACTGAAACAGCAAATGCAACGAGCATTGCAGTTGGTCTAACTGCTTGGCCTGGCTAAAAGCGTTTGGCATTTCCAGTTTTCAAGTAACGTTTCGATTGGCAGCAATTCATATTTTTAGCTAGATCCGGTTGCTAGACGCCGTCACTAACAACGGCGGGGCATTTGAGCAATCAGCAGCCATTTATCATCCAGCGCGTTGCATCAGCTCCGATTGTGGCACATTCCATGCGGGTGGCAACTAAGACCGAGTGAATCAAGCGCCTTGACTCATCGTTGTCGCTGACTGTTCCTTGAATAGTTGTTTGCCTGAAATCAATACACATATAGAGTATCAAATGATTCGGACATACCTTGAGTCCATGCAAATCAATGAATGCTCCAGTTCGTTCACTATAGATATTCAATGCTGACCTTAGCTTACGTGTGGCTTTTAATTAGCCATTAAATGTAAAGCTATGCTAAACTGAAGGTCGAACTAGAACTTTTGATTGCAATCGGAATATATATATGTGTTTAGATATAACGATAATTGTATAGAGCTCAGCTCAAACAAGTTTGAATCGCATGCAGCAAATAGTTGAAATTATTTCTTTAGAAAAGATCACTATATACATGTATAATATATATATTTAGAATTTCGTGATCAATTTTAAATGCCGTCTCCCCCACACTCTCCCTCCCGTTATCTCTCTCTCTTTCTCTGTCTACCTTTCCGCATTTTAAATTTGAGAATAGCTATATTTAGCAAGTTTTTAAATTGACACGCAAATGACATCCAAATATGATTCGTGTGACGAATTACGTATACGTAATATATATATATTGTATGAACAGCTGCAGCAGGCCTTACACACATTTATATACATGCATAGGTATATATATCTTATTGTATATACATTCTGTTGCAGTGATGCCATTTTAGCAATTTTGGAGCTGTTGTCCTATTTTCAAAGATATTTTTAGCACCTTCAAGGTTTCAAGTTAAAAATCTAGAGCACAAGCTGAAAAATCAAATTATAATGAACTTAATCTTTTTTCTGCTACTCTCGCAATTGTAATGAAAGGTACAACGAATCGGCGCAGCTATTAGATCATATCATATTATGACAAACGTAACAAAGAAAGTTATATTCTATTCTTACAGATCTGCGATAGAGGCGAAGACAATACAGCGACAAGAAAACAAAATTAAAAATATGAATGAGCCATACTAAGATTATACAGAAAATTTATTGATTAATTTTGATAAAGCTAAAATAATAATAACAAAAATATAAGTTCAAATTATTAGTTCATTTCCATTTCATTTCATTTTGATATAGACAAAGTTAAATCATTTAACCCAAATGAAGGCTCACATCGAACTTTGTCTGCATGTTTTCAATATGATATCATAGATATCAATTTAATTGATAAATGTCAGCGTTTGCTATTGCAATTAACTAAGTGTGCTTTAATGGGCTATATGTGACTGGGAGATACTCTAAAATATATAAAGGTGCAAATATAAAACTGAACAGTTTCTAGTAGAAAATTATATGACCAAAACCACTTTCTAGACAGGCAACTAAATATATACTTAACTTATATATACTTATGCATCGTATATAATTGTGCGAAATAGATAGATATCTTGCTGACAGTATTTTTACTTCATTTTATTCTACAAATTGATTTAACACGGTCACTGCTTTATTTGAGATATGTGGTGTACTGCTTGGTGAACTGCTTGGTGGGTGCACTGACTAAATGCAACGTATTGCCAACTACTTGGAAACAGATGCGACATTGCCTATACACTGTTTCATTGAATACAAAAGAAAGAAAAAGAAAAAGTCAAATTTCTAGCGTCGACTCAATATTTCTAGATTGACAAATTTGTCATTGGCCGCAAGGAAGGCCTTGTGCACATTGGCATGTATGGCCACGTCGATCAGGTTGGTGTTGCTGAAGTAATCCATGGCAACGACATTCGCATTCAGACCCCAAGGCCCGTTGAGCCATTGATTTACCTTCGGATTGATGACAGCGGCTCGCTCCTTGGCCGTTTGCAATTTGTGGGAGTTGAGCGCCTGCTCAATGCTCATCACAGCATGGAATATCCAGCCATCGTCCTGCACAGGGGAGTCCGGCTTCCGGCTGAACAGCAGACGCATATAGTCCAGGGTCTGGGACATGTTCATGTAGCTGGTGCTGAAGCGCTGCCAGGGCGGGCAGAGCAGCACGGATTCTGTAAGCAAGACGTGCTCAGTGGCTAAAGGATGCTTTAAAGTGTATATATATATTTGGTATATACCATTCTCTGGATGTGGCAGCTCCTCTGTGGGAAACAGCAGCAACACCTGCCGGCCGAGCACACGCAGATCATTGAAGCTGCGATCGGCGCAGTGTTCATTGCTGCTCACGTTCCGCTCGTAGAGCACCTGGCCCAGCTCCTGCCGGATAAGATGGTAGAGGCTGCTGTAGATCTCCGGGTGCTTGTAGAAGCCAATGGGAAACGAACTGAAGTCCAGCACGACTATCTCATTCGAGAGCTCAACAAAGCGACGCACATCGCGTAGCACATCGATCACCGGATTGATGAACATGTTCTCGTTGACTACCCAGAAGTTATCCGATTCGCTGCTGCTGTCCGCGCTATAGCGATAGCTGCAGGAGGGGGTCATTAGACTTTGGCAAATGTTTGGAATTTCTCTATCAGCTCACCCCACGCTCAGATCCAGATAGCGAATGCCAAAGACCAGCTGCGACCACACATCGAAGTGCTGAGCGACCAGGTAGTCCTTGATCAGCAGCGACTTGGTCTTGCTGTAGTTGGTAATGTAGGCGCCGGAGGCGTGTGTGCCTGGCAGAAAGAGCTGCTTTAGCGGCATGTTCGCCGCATCTTTGAGGTGGGCCAGCCAATTGGGCTGGATCTTCAGGCAATCGATAGTCAGCAGCTCGTTGCCATTGTAGCTGGCCACGTAGTAGGGCAAACACTTGCCCTTCGGGTACTTGGTGGCCGTGGTCTGTCCGGCCGTGGGCCGATTCCAGCCGCCTGGAAACTGCAACTTGCCCAGCTTAATGGGCGTCAGTCGTTTGCCCGTGCGATTCCGTATACCGTCGATACGCAGCTCTGGCTGAAAGTTCGACACGGACGGATCCTGACGATAGATGCCCACCCACTCGGGCGGTGCATAACAATCGGGTCCCCAATTAATCTCCAAGCAGGCGTCGGTCAGCGATTTGCCCGACAGCGAAATAGTTAGGAAAATGGGACAACTAGCTGGAGCAGACATTAGCCATTATCCACTAGCCTAGTGGCCATGTGGCCTGGTGGCCACTCACCTGAGAGCGGTGCCACCAGCAGCTGCAAATGCAGCGCAAATAAAACAATTTTCCACATTTTCCACTGCAACAGAATTGACACTGAATTTTCCTTGCGTCTTGATTGCTCGAGTTCTGGCGATGAATTGAAAATGAGACGAGTCACAAATTTGTCGCTTTTGTGGCTCAATTTGCACCACTGCCACCTCCTCACAATGCCGTAAACCTATGAAACTGAGCGAAATCTCGAATTTTTTTGAGCTTTCATTCAATTAAGTCTAATGAATACTGAGCTGCGTAGGCGGCGTATTAAGAGGAAGAGAGTGAGAAAGAGAGGGGAACTTTGAGTTGCGAAAATACGTTCTCTTAACTGTTTAAAAATGTTAGAAAATTAATTTAATATGAGCTTCATTTCATCAATTTAAAAATTCGAAGATTACGAAATATAAACAAGTAAGAAGGCTCCAGTCGAGACTTATCGGATGATTTATCGAAAAAATAAAGCAAACTCGTACTGCRTATGGTACAYACRARTAYGCATGCCAAATTTCAGCTTTCTAGCTCTTATAACTTCTGAGATCGACGCACTCATACGGACGGACGGACGGACGGACGGACAGACGGAAAGGGCTATATCGACTCAGCTCGTCGCGCTGATCAAGAATATATATACTTTGTGGGGTCTGCCACGCCTCCTTCTGCCCGTTACATACTTTTTCACAAAACCATTATACCCTGATTTCCCATTTTCAATGGGTTCAGGGTATAAAAATATTTTNCTAACTTAGTTTAATTTAAGCACAACAATTCTTAGTCTAAACTTTAACCGTTTCTGTACAAGCTAATTAATATTGATTTCTATGCCATATGGTTTAGCTATATATCTAACTATGTCTATATTTCCATATTACATTTAGTTTATAGACTATACATATAAATAATAATATTCGAGTTGTTCGGTTTGCTTCATTGTTGCCAGTTAATTATAAGATTAAGTTAAGTACAATTATTTTGAACGGAATGCGCATAACTAAACAAAAAAAAAATATCAATAATAAAAAAATAAATGTTGCTAAAGTACATAAATAAATAATGTTAATTAATTATTTGATTTAATTTGCACAGGTACAAATCGCAATGCTATTCAAGGCAGCTGGTTCTAATAATTTCTCATGGTTCTCTGTTCTCCTGAGGTAGGTAATTTGTAAGCTTGAATTTTTCATATTCATATATATGTATTTTATGCAAACTGCTATGGTATTTGTTTTCTTTTCTTTTCTATTTTGTTGTTGTTTATAAACTTGGCATCGGGCAATTGAAACAGTCTTGCTGCCTTTGTACATACATACATACATACATACATACAGCTGCTGTCTTCTATATTATAAATAATTATATATAAATACGATTTTAATTTTTAGTTAATTACAAAAAAAAAAAAAAGAATTATATTATGTTTATGTATAGAAAACATAAAAAACAGTCTTGTGGTTGCATTTGTGTTAGTTTCTCGAATGAATAAATATGAATTACGTATACGCACAGTATTACATCTGTATGCGTATGTGTGCGTGCGTGTGAGTGTGTGTTTGCTTATATATTTATGTATATAAATAAATTCTGCTTAATAACTGGGTACTATGCGCATGTCTTTTGCTTGGTTCAGGAATTGGAATAGCTCCGATATATGCATATATACATATACAAATATATATATGTGGCTATACAGTCTATGGCTATATCTATATACAGGCCGACTATTTACAGGGTATCTATGCAGTAAAACCTAATGACGCTGCTCCTTCAGCTCACCTGCTGCGTGAGCAGATTCACCAGCTCCGTTCGTTCCATGTTGTTCAGCGTGTGCATATCGACGCCGAGTGCTGCGGCCACGGCTTCGATGTCCAGACCGAAGGAGGTGAGCAGTTCGAGGAAGCGCATCTCCTCGCCGGTCAGCGGATTCGTGAGCGTGGGGCACGAGTGGTTGCACTGCGGCCAGCTGCAACGCTCCAGCAGCCGCAGTCCACACTTCTCGGGCACGCGCGGCACACGCTGTCGCGGCTTCAGCTTGGTGGCGCTGTTGGAAGCTCGTCGCTTCTGCGGCTCGCTCGGCTGCTCCTGCTGCAGCTGCTGTTGCTGCTTGCGTCGTTGCTGGCGCTGCTGCTTGCGCTGCAGCTGCTGCTCAGCGGTCAGCTGTGGACGGCGACGCTGCTTGTTGTTGTTTTTATTGCTGCTGTTGCTGGCCGCTGCTTCGTTCTCGCGCTTGCGCTGCAGCTGCTGCTGGCGACGTCGCTGCTTACGTCGCTGTCGCTCTTGACGGCGACGCTTGCGCTCCTCGCGCTGCTCTTTGCTCAGGTGATTCCTTTTGCGCTGCGGCGCTGGCTGCGCCTGAGCCACATTGTTCAGCTTCTGTGCCCGCTGGCGATGGCGTTGATGTCTTTGGTTGTTCGCATTCGGATGTCGCTGCTGATGCTGCTGCTGCTGCAGCGCCGTTGTCGTAGCCTCCGTGCTGCGCTTCAGCTTGTCGTGTCGCTTGCGTCGCGGCCGCGTCGAGTGCTCCCAGCAGCGCAGCGCCGAGGGCAGCGAGATGTCGTCGATCTTGATGTTGACCCAGTCGCGCTTCAGCAGCACCGCATGGCCAATGCAGCTGGGCGCGAACACGGCGCTCACATTGTCCAGCGAGGAGCGCAGTGCGCCGCCCATCTCGTGTATGTAGTTCCATTGCTGGGGCGTGACGGGCGCGCCCACATTGTCGGCGCGCATTTGCGCCTCATCGAAGAGCCACTGGAACACAAAGAGTGGAGCTGCAACGAGATGGAAAAGGTTAGGGTTCGAGTCGAACGGGAGATTCCTTTGAGTAACTTACTTTTCAGTGTGGGATACAGGCGATAGCCGAAGTAGCAGCGCCAAGGTTCTGTGGGATGCGCCTTGGTGCAGTCCTCGGGCAACAAGCCCTGCCACAGCTTCCAGCCCAGACGTACTGCCTCGCTGGAGGCCACAGCCGATGGTGTATATGGCTCACGATCTAGAAACCAACCCGAATCGCTGACGCCTCGCACTGTCACCTGCAGCTTGCGCTCGTTGACCAGAAAGTCGCGCACGCGATCCAGGTTGAGCATGACGCCGAGTCCACCTGCAGAGGAGCCCACCAGCAGCAGCTCGCCGCCGGGCACACGGCCCAGACCCAAGGGTATCAGGTCGGCAATCACCTGGCGCAGTATCAGAGCGCCCATGAAGCGCCAGGTGTTATCGCGATCTCGTGTGTCCGGCTCGATGCGCGTGCCCGACCAGGAGTCGCTGCTGCAGTAGGGCACCAGCACATGGTTGGCATTGTGCCAGTAGGGGTTCTCCTCGGCATGCGGAGACAGAATGCCACCAGCTATAAAAGAAGGGGGTGCATTAGCATGGAGCACAGTTATTGCTTGTGGTTTCACTCACCATCTCTTGTCTCTGGCCACTGGGAGGAGGTCATCAGATGGCGTAGACGCAGCCAACGCGCACGGCACGAACGATTGTCGAAGCAGTGCCAGCCGCCCTCGAGAAACACGATCCATTTCTTGGAGTTGGGCTGCTTGCGCAGATAGAAGCCCGCGTGGGTGCCATCGTTGCAGGTGATGCTCGAGTTGGTTAACGAGGCACGCTTCAGCGACCGGCTGTGATCGATGCCAGCATCGCTGTGCGCCGACGCGGCGCCCGCTGGGTGCATGATCATGTAGTTGCGCTGTATCATGTTCAGCGAATTGCCATTGGCCTCCTCCTGCTCCAGTTCCAGTTCCAACGGAGCTTTGCGCACGCCAAATGTTTCAATGTTGTCGTTGTTGTTTTTGTTTGCATTGCTGCTGCTGCTGCCGCTGCTATTAATGCTGTTGCTGCTGGCGTGCGGCAATGCGCTGAGTGCAATCAGCGGCAGCAACAGCGACAGCTGACAGCACAGTTGCGTCGTCGTCGTCGTYGTCGACTGCAAGAGAAAGAATTTCTTGATTTAGAATAGCTGTAAAATACTCTCACGAGTAAATATTTAATATTCGAAAAGCAGTTAAAGCTTTCGCGCTGCAGCAGCTTTAACGCGCAAGCTTTAAAGTTGCACTCGGCACGCGTTCGGCTGCTCTCTCTTTACGCCGCTCTCCCGCTCTATATATAT